ATGAGGATGTTATGATGGGCATCAAATAAAGAAGAAAGTTCTCACCATTTTGCTGCACAAGGCATTTCCACCAAAAAATTTGAGGCCTCGGGTTAAAAAGATTAAGATTAAGGGCGAATATCCTTCTAAGAAATAGTGGTAGAGGTATTTGCAAGAATATCAGCAGTATATGGTAGACAACTTAGAGAGTAGATCATCAAGATTTAGAGCATCCTCATCTCAAGCCTGCAGGGGAATAGAACACTGTAGACCATTTATTTAAGGAATAAGTTAGTTGGAAAAGGAGAAATACACCATTTTCGCATCACAAAAGGTTGAGAGATATGGAGTTCCTTAAGTGGGTCTGCCCTTACAACAAAAGATACAAAATTGTGCAGGTTTGTAGCAGTGCAGACTGGTTCATTACATCCATGTGCTGTATAAGAATGGCTGACACCATTGCATAATACATGGAGTTGCTGGAAAAGTTACATCAAGTTTATTATCAACCAACAAGGAAGGATGAGAGAGTACGGGAAATCATTTCTGATGCTATATTCTAGAAAAGTTGCACTAAATTTATTTCAACCAATAAGTAAAGAGAATATGGGAAGTCACTTCTGATGCTATATTCTAGAAAAGTTACATTCAATTTATTATCAACCAATATATATATATATATTATTTTTTTTTTTTTTTTGTAAGAGCGTTAACTATTATCAACCAATAACTAAGGATGAGAGAATATGGAAAATCACTTTTGATGTTATCTAGGAAATCACTTATGATGCGATATTCTTGGAGACATCAGCATATGTATCACGATAGAACCAGAAAGGAGTAGACCATGAGATCTCTAAAAGTCTGCAAGCCTGCCACAAAGTCAGGCTTTCACATGGGGTGCTAGGCTTTGGGAAGATACAAAGGCCATGAAAATGCTTCCGTGAAAATACTGTCACGTGAAAAAAAACTCTCTCATGATGTGGGAGGTTTTTCACATTAAACGTGCCCTAAGAAGTCATAGATCATTTTATCCCTACACTCTGGTTTTTTTGCCAACAGACTGCGGGAGCCTTTTGTCAGGCAGGAATCCATTAGAAAGCCCCAAAATCAACAATGGTTGGGAAAGGTTGGGAATGTGCTGTGGGAACAAATAGTTGCTGCTATATTATTGTGGCAAATCCGGAGAGAACGTATTCAGCCACAGAAAAATAAAACAGGTTGCTCTTCCTGCACATCGTGGTTCAAACTCTAAACTTTGGCATCGAAGAGATATCCATCCCAACATAGTTTGGCTAGTTTACCTTCATCTCATTTGGATATTTTTCCTGTTTTGTTGCATTTTGTGATGTATGGCATTTTGGCTAGACACATTTTTCATTTTCTTCGAGTTTGAATAAATGCTTTCTCCTTTTGACACTGTGACATTTGGGGAGGTTGCTCAACCCCTTCTCATTCGGGAGCTCCTTATTTTCTTACTATTATGGATGACTTCTCTAGATGCACATGGATATACTTAATAAAATTCAAACTTGAAACATATCCTTTCATGAAGAACTTTCTTCCCATGCTAAAAACTCAATTCCATTGTCATGTCAAACATGTTAGAACAGATAATGGCACTGAATTCTTTTCTAATTTCACACAATATTTTTCACGAGCAAGGCATATTACATTAACAAACATGTGTCAACACCCCACAGCAGAATAGTATAGCAGAACGCACGCACCATCACCTTTTGGAGGTAGCTTGTGCCTTGTGTTTCCAAGCTAATTTATTAATTGCTTTTTGGGGAGAATGTGTTCTTTTTGAAAAACACATGTTCTTTTTGAAAAACACATGTTCTTTTGAAAAACATGTTCTTTCTGAAAAACTCTGCATGAAATGCTCCTTCGATGCAAACCCAAATATGACCACCTTGGCGTTTTTTTATGTCTGTGTTATGCCCATAACAATGACATTTAAAGATACAAGTTCGAACCTAGAGAAAAATGTTGTATTTTTTTGGTTATCCACTTGGACAAAAAGACTACTGGGTGTATGATCTTAGTTCCAAGAAAATTTTCACTAGCAGGGACATAATCTTTCATGAAAATATTTTCCCTTTTCTAACCACTTTGCCCTCTGAAACCACCACTCCCTCCTCGCATTTTTCCCTAAAGCCCAATATGATGGAGCTGTTGATGACTTCGTTCTACCTAAATATTGACTATCTCCATCAACAGAACCCACACTCCCTACACACTCCAATCCATCTCCCTCTGATGTTTCACAACCAATCGATAATTACCTACCTCCTCATCATAATCATTTGAGAGCCTGCCGCCTTCCATATGACACCCCCAAAGGATATATCTAAATGACCATGTTTGTTGTTCAGCCCGTGACAGCATCCCACTTTCTTGTCTCACGCTTCCAAACAGTTTTCTTCAAGGCTTGCTACTTCAGGTAAACCCTACCCTATTGCCCCCTACCTTGCCGATGTTTATTCTGCTCCTCATCAAGAATTTTTTCCTGTTATCTTTTCTCATAATGAGCCTTGTAGTTTTAGACAGGTCATCGTGCATTCTCATTGGAGAACTACTATGACTGCAGAACTTCAGGCTCTTGAAGAGAACCAAACCAGGACCCTACAACCCTTACCACCTGGTAAGTATCCCATTGACTGCAAATGGGTGTATAAGATTAAGTTTCGTGCTGATGGATCCATAGAGAGATACAAGGCGTGTTTAGTTGCCAAAGGTTATATATAAACCGCAAGACTCGATTGCTATGAGACTTTTGCACCTGTCGCCATGCTAGTTACCGTGTGGTGTTTACTTGCTTTTGCCTCTGCAAGGAACTAGCTTTTACACAAATTGGATGTAAACAATGTTTACATGAGGAAATCTATAGTACTCCTCCACCTGGTTATACATGAAAGGGGGAGAATCTCATTGTCGTATATGTCCTCAAGCAGGCCTCTCATCAATGGTTTGACAAGTTCCCTACTTCTCTCAAGGCAGCCGGTTTCAAGTATTATTTTGGTATCGAGGTTGCTCGCTCAGCTAAAGGTATCTTCCTTAGCCAACGGAAATATATCTTGGACATTTTGAAAGAAACTGGTTGTTTTGGATCCAAACCAATCCGATTTCCATGGAGCAAAATCTTTGGTTAAAGGTTGATGATGGGTGTTGACGACCCTGGTTCTTACAGGTGTCTTGTAGGAAGAGTATTTGACAATTATGCACCTTGATACTACTTATTCATTACATGTGCTCAGTCAATTCATATAGACACTTTGCAAGTCACACGGGTTCTACGCTATTTGAAGGTCTATTCAAGGCATGGCATTCTACTTCCATTTGCAAGTGCTTAAAGCTCACAGCCTACTCTATTGGGCAAGTTGTCTCATGACTCGTCTTTCTACTGCTTGATATATTGCTTTTTTAGGTGCAAGTCCAATCTCTTGGAGCACCAAGAAGCAAACCATTGTGGTGGTGCGTTCTTTGGCTAAGGTAGGGTATCTAGCTATGGTCATCTCTTCTTGCGAATTGACATGGCTTAAGCTTCTTCTTGCTGATCTTGAGGTTTCTCACTCTTGGCCCATGCACCATCATCATAACCAAGCTGCTCTCTACATTGCGGCTAACCAGTCTTCCATTAACACCAAGCACGTAGAATTGGACTGTCACCTTTTTCAGGAAAACATACAATCTGGCCTCATCTCTGCTTCATATGTCATCATGAATACAACTAGCAGATATCTCAACTAAGCCCTTTGCGTGCACGTAGTTTCACTTGTTGTCCAAGCTGGGGTGTTACGTGTCTTCATGCACCAACTTGAGGGAGAGTATTAGAAACTTGGTTCCTATCTTGACGATTATTTAATTCATGTTTTGAATTCACACACCCACAACAACTTTGACTTGATTCAAAATTCAAGACCCATTCAAGATGGGATTTTGTTACTATTATAACTATTTATTGTTAGGCTAATCTCATCCATTCAATCGTGGGTTTGAGAGTTATCTGTTACTATGACGTTTTGTCTATAATGAAAATTGCACTTTCACATTTTATCATATTCAGAGGATATTGGGAATAAAAGCCAAGGTGAAGTGATAAAGCTAAAATCAGCAAAGATGAGAGCGTTTGTCAGTGGATACCCCAACAACGCAAAGGAATGCTAAAACTTGGAATTTACCGGCGTAGGACGAATTTTAAGAGTCTCGTCAAATGAGGTGGATATCAGAGAGCTAAAATAAAAGGTATGAAAATACTGCCTATTTCCCCAAGATCGTGGTGGAAAGGCACTCTTTGAATATGAGATGTTCTTTAAGAAATCAAAGACTCTTTGAAAATAGGTATGAAAATACTGCCTATTTCCCCAAGATCATGGTGGAAAGGCACTCTTTGAATATGAGATGTTCTTTAAGATTTCAAAGACTCTTAAAGAAATCAGGAACACGCGCACGCAGGGAAGAAAATTTTGAGGCTGACTTGCAAAATAGGGAGGGGGTTGTGCTTCCAAAACATTTTTGGTTGTTCATGGAAGACACGCAAAAGAGGAGCGGCGGTATATGTGGGCTGGATCAGCCCAATATAGTAATGAAAGAGAAGCAAGTTAGCACCAAAATCAATGCTTTGTTTGCTGGCTGTTATTCCCAATTGTAGTTCGAAATTTGCCTGCATTCCTGATGAGAGATATTGAAAACTGAAACTGAAATTTTATTATGTCCATAGCTGACCCTCAAGATATATTGGACAGAAAGTGTACATGGCATGAGTTTGAAAGATTTCACCGATAAAGTGATCAAGAGTAGATGGCGTCCGAAAAAAATCAATCAAGATTATGAACATTGATGTTTCACTAAATATTCCACTAAAAATCAATCAAGATTTAATCATCGCTCAACTCAATTCAGCCAAATAGTTTGCAAAATTAGGAAATCCCCAAATACCAGGGATCCCACCAAAATTGTATATATGATTGGTTAAATGTGAGGTAGATATACAACTACAAATCGAGAGCTAAAAATAAAAAAACATAAATCCACTACAGATTCCACTAAAAATCAATCAAGATTAATCATTGCTCAACTCAATTCAGCCAAATAGTTTGCAGAATTAGGAAATCCCCAAATACCATGGTCCCATGAAGTAGATATACAACTACAAATCGAGTGCGAGAAATAAAAAAAACATAAAAAGCACACCACCACAATACACAATTTACGTGGTTCACCCCATAGGGCTACATCCACGGCCTTGATAACTAGCAATCCACTATCTCAAGGAAGATACAATTTTGGGTTACAAGAGTCTAAACATCGGTATAAAACCTTCACTGATTTTCCCATACTCTCCCAACCAAGCAACACCGTCGATAAATATTTTTTATACCACTATCAGAAAGAGCACCTTGAGAGTCTAAACATCGATATAAAACCTTCATTGATTTTCCCATACTCTCCCAACCAAGCAACACCGTCTATCAATATTTTTATTCCGTTATCAGAAAGAGCACATTGAGAATCTTAACTAACCCAAAAATCCCATGGGAATACCGGCTTCTCTCTCTCTCTTGCAGACCCATCTCCATCTTGGACATTCAAAAGGATGAGTCTTCCTTAGCCCTCACCAATTCTTGTTCACCAAAGAAACCCCTTTTTTCTTTTTCCATAATACCCTCAATTTTTGTTAATGAAATATAGGTGCGGTGATTTTGACTATCACCAAAAACTGTATGTGAGTGAGTGAGAGAGAGAGAGAGAGAGAGTGTATATTGAGGTTTTAAAAAGTATTTATACAGCCAATAGACGGAGCTTGTATACTGAGGGGAACCAAATTAGTTACAGTGAGAAAGACCAAATGAGAGAGAGAGAGAGAGAGAGAGAGAAACAGTATCTTGAGGTTACTTAAAAAGTCTTGATACGGCCAATAGACACAGCTTGTTTACTGGAGGGGGGGGGACCAAATTAGTTACAGTGTGTACAAGGGGTACACAAGCTGTCCTGTAAGGAGAGAGAGAGAGAGAGAGAGAGAGCTCTTGCATTCTACAAATGCACAGTATTTCTACCTCTCCCATCAAAGCTTCCATTTCTGGCTTTTCCTCGAGTTATTAAAGCTTAAGCACCCCCCACTAATGGAGAGAGAGAGGGAGGTATGTAGAGCTCTTGCATTCTACAGATGCCTCTTGCAGTCCACAGATGCCTTTTGCATTCCACAAATGTGTTAGGCTGGCATCAAGAAAACCCACGTAGAATATCCTGTCTCCCAAATCACTGAAAAAGAAAAGGAGTCATAAAACTTACAATTATAATTTTCCAATGTGTCTGTCAGGAAATCTGGCAAAAAGAGAGACTGAAAATGTGAGAAAACGAACCAAAACTCAGCTGAGAAAAAGTAGCAAAAATTACCAATGAAATTAATTTCCATGGATGTCTGGAATAGACCCATAGCAGTGAACATGTATCCATTTAAATTGAACTGCAAACCCAGAATAATATCAACATTTGAAAATCAATTCAAGATATGCAAAAAGAAAAGAATAGAAGGAAAAAGAGCACACCATAAAACAAGCGCACGTTTATGTGAAATGGTGATTGTCCCATCCAGTATACAATTGTTCTAAGCTCTTCAGTTCTGATTAGAAATATGTAATAAACCTGCATTTACAACACTTCAATGGTTCAGTAGTCTCAGGTAATTTTTGCACATTTACTATAAGCTAGCTAGCTTACCCAATTGAAAGGTATAATTCACAGCAAATAACCCAGTCAATGGATTTACATTTCCTCTTGGAGTAAAATGTAATAAAATTATAGGAAATACGATCAACGGTTTTAAACTCTACAGAATTCCGAAAAGTTAAAGAAATCTTTGAAACCCCAAATTTTACATTCTCACTCAATTCACCCTTTCAATAAAATGGAAAGAAAATGCTAAAAGGAGAAAACGGATCAAATTAAATAAAAATTGGAAGAAAAAAAATTCAAATAGAGATGGAGTGAGTAGTACAATGCTAATCAATGGTTTTATATTCTGAAATACTGGAAAAAAAAATTAAATAAATATTTGAACCAGAAGATTTACCATTTCTATACACTTCAACTGGTCATATTTTTAAATCAAAGAAGAAATAGAGGAGGGTCAATTTAAATTGAATAAACAACAGATTCACAGTCTCGGTGCTCTTACCTTGATGTCTCTGATTGATGACCATAATTAAACAAAGAAACCCTAAATCAACCACACACTATAAACTTACAGGCAGGGAAAATCAACCCTGTGACAATCAAAAGAAGAATGGTGACCAGATTCTGAGAACACCATCTAATAGGATTAAGCTTAACCTCTACACTTGAACTCTTGAATCTCTTGCTACTATGAGGTTCCTTTGACAAATCAAAACTAGCCCCCTTCATTCTAAGCTCTTGAATGCACCTAACAAGAGCCCTACTGTCACTTCTTTCTCTCTGCAACTGCTTCAAAACCTTTGAATACCTAAATAGCTTGTACTGAACAGAGCATATTGTAACTAGAGAGGCAATCAAGGATAAACAGGAAGGAACCCACCATTTTTTACAGGAAGAATTCTCCAAATGGATGGAAGAAGTGAAGAGAAGGGTAAAGAAGAAGCCATGAAAAGCAAAAAAGAAAAGGCACAGTTGAAAGACTTCACGCCTTGTGGTATCAATTCTGGTTTCTTTAATAGCGATTCTATGTGCAAAGAGATCTTCTTCTCTCTGCCATAGCTTGAGAAGAAGCAAATGTCCTGGACTTTCAGAGATCTCATGGAGTGGGTGTTGAGTTGAGGAAGCAGTTGCAGAGAGATGGGGTTTTTGATGTTCTTCATCAACTGGGATCTCAACTATGTGAGATTCTAAGGGACTAATTTTGATAGGGTTTTTGCTGTTTTCTTCTTCCATTACAGATCAAAGATAGCTTACAAATTTTAGCAGAACAAGAAATCACCCAAACAAAATCAGATCACCCAAAATTTGCAATAAAAAATTAACCAAAAGAAACTGCAGGCAAAAGTTTAACTAGATATCAAGAGTAATAGCCCAAACAAATGAATGAGTGAATTGAAACGGAAAAGTTGATTGATAGTGCAGAGCTTCGTAGATGTAAACAATTGCGCAGAGAATTATGGCAAGAGAGGAAGGTTTGGTTTAAATTTAAACGATAGAATGCCATATAACCGTTGGGCTAACGGCTACTTTTCTATTGAAAACGTTACGGGAAAGAGCCCAGTTGTTTAAGAAAATGACGATTTCATCCAGGCATGAATTATGACGAAATTGAGAAGGGCCTCGTCTGAAGAAATTTGTTTTTTTAAAAAACGTTTATTCTAGTATCCGGTTTCTATGCGGCCAAGCCGCATATGTATAAATGCGGGCCTATTAATAAATCTATTTTTGAAATGGATTTTTAGATTTAATTTTTAAAGACATGTAATATCTAACATGGAGATTATGAATATGAAAAAATATGTAAATTTTAAAAACTAAAAATAATAATTTTAATAAGAAAATATTGGGACTGTTAGTTTCCATTATTTTTAAATGGAACCACTACTTGCATCCATCTTTAAAATGGATGCTTTACACTTTTTGAACCGCATATGTAGTCATGCGGTCCGGCTTGCATGAAACAATTTTCTTTTTTTTTAACCGGCAAATATAATTTTTTTTTTTTTTTTGCTTATGTCATATGGATTCCATTCATTCTTAACAGTATTTGAAATTGGTCATCATAATCGGCCGATTTAGATTGGGAATCAATAGGAACCAACTCAGTTTCCAACCTGGAATTAGGCTGGTTACATGCCAATCCTATGAGAACCGGGTGATCTGAGTCACTCGTTTCCATGATTTATATTTTTATTTTATTTTTTTCATTTTTTTTTATTCATTGATTCTCACCCCTGAATCCCAATATCAATTGGCGATTCATTGATCTTCCAAGTTGACCAATTCTTCGAGCCGTTGCAGATTTTAAAGCACCTATTTGTATTATTCTTCTTCGAGCCGTTGCAGATTTTAAAGCACCTATTTGTATTATTCTTAAGTGAAGAATTAAAGTATAAAATGAGACTGTTTATATTTTTTATACAAAAAGGTGACGCTTTCTTTGAGCCATCACATGTAAAATCAAATATATGTAAAATCAAATAGCTAAGAGTATGTCATTAATTGTGCACAATGCTTAATAAAAAAAATTCTCAAATTTTGTGACTCATTGTTAGTGTCCACATTTAAAATCTAATAGTTAAAAATCACTAGGCCCTTCTTGTATAAAAAAAATAAAGGCAAATATTTATATAGAGCCGAGGCTCTAAACAATCAAATTAGAGCTTCCCTCAAAAATTTCACTAGAAGATGTTGTTTTGATGCTCAAATATCTTCAAATTAATCATCTCAACATCAAATACCTGGATATGAGAAAAAAATAGATTTCAATTTTTAAAAATAGTATATTTTGTAATGCATTTTTGGACCATCAATTTTCAAGATTTTCAATATTTCATAAATCTATCGATCTGCACTATTTTTTAAGCTTTAAAAGTTATAAATAAATATGAAAATATATTTATTATTATCACAAAGATTTACAACATTAGAACCACATTTATCGACACTATTTGAAGGTATGCTCTAATTTGATTGTTTAGAACCTAAACTCTATACAAACCGCACCAAAAAATAAATGGCATCTATACATGGACCTGGTTTCCATGAGGCCAAGCTCGCATATGTGGAAATACGGGCCTCTTAATAAACCTATTTTTGAGATGTATTTTAAGACTTAATATTTAAAAACATGTAATATCTAACATGGAGATCACGAATATGAACAAATAAATAAATTTTAAATACTAAAAATAATAATTCTACTAAGGAAATATTTAGACCGTTAGTTTCCATTGTTTTTAGATAGAACACCTAATTGCATCATCTTTAAGATGGATGCTTTATACTTTTTGGAACGTATATGTAGAAATGCGGTCCAGCCCGCATAAAACAATTTTCCAATATATATTCCTATATATTGTTCCCTTCTTTCCTTCTATGCACGCATTCTCTCTAGAATTATTTTGCAACTATAAAGGACAAGTGAGCAAAAAAGAAAAAATTACTAAGCAATCAAATTACTTAAAAATAAATAAATCAACGAAGCAGTTAAATCAAGATAATCTACGTTCGAGTTCCCTACTACGATATATATATATATATATATATATAGGAAAAGTTTATATAAGGTTGCAACCTTAAAATGTAGAACTACGGATGCACCTCAAAAATCCATTGGAAAATGTTGTTTTAATATTGAAAAACCTTCTAATTGATCATTTCAACATCGATATGAATGACTCTGAAAAAATAAAAAAAAGGATTTTGAGTCCTAGAAATGATGCACCTTACAACACATTATCTAGACAATCCATTTTCAAGATTTTCATATATTTATAGATCTACTTGATTTTAATTATTTTTGAAGTTTAAAATTTATAATTATATATGAAAATAGATTTTGAGATAATC